ATTTTTTGGTACCTGACGATATATGTTGATTTTTATGATCGGACTTAGAATTAAAAATTCAAAATATGAGGTACTTGGTACTTATAAATATTTTTTTTGACTTTCTGAAAAGGTCTCAGTGACACTTATGAAGACCCTACGTTTTCACATTTTTTTCAATGAATTCCAAGTCGTATATTTATTGGTACCTGACGATATATGTCGATTTTTATGATCGGACTTAGAATTAAAAATTCAAAATATGAGGTACTTGGTACTTATAAATATTTTTTTTGACTTTCTGAAAAGGTCTCAGTGACACTTATGAAGACCCTACGTTTTCACATTTTTTCAATGAATTCCAAGTCGTATATTTATTGGTACCTGACGATATATGTCGATTTTTATGATCGGACTTAAAATTGAAAATTCAAAATATGAGGTACTTGGTACTTATAAATATTTTTTTTGACTTTCTGAAAAGGTCTCAGTGACACTTATGAAGACCCTACGTTTTCACATTTTTTTCAATGAATTCCAAGTCGTATATTTATTGGTACCTGACGATATATGTCGATTTTTATGATCGGACTTAGAATTAAAAATTCAAAATATGAGGTACTTGGTACTTATAAATTTTTTTTTGACTTTCTGAAAAGGTCTCAGTGACACACATGAAGACCCTACGTTTTCACATTTTTTTCAATGAATTCCAAGTCGTATATTTTTTGGTACCTGACGATATATGTTGATTTTTATGATCGGACTTAGAATTAAAAATTCAAAATATGAGGTACTTGGTACTTATAAATATTTTTTTTGACTTTCTGAAAAGGTCTCAGTGACACTTATGAAGACCCTACGTTTTCACATTTTTTTCAATGAATTCCAAGACGTATATTTATTGGTACCTGACGATATATGTCGATTTTTATGATCGGACTTAGAATTAAAAATTCAAAATATGAGGTACTTGGTACTTATAAATATTTTTTTTGACTTTCTGAAAAGGTCTCAGTGACACTTATGAAGACCCTACGTTTTCACATTTTTTCAATGAATTCCAAGTCGTATATTTATTGGTACCTGACGATATATGTCGATTTTTATGATCGGACTTAAAATTGAAAATTCAAAATATGAGGTACTTGGTACTTATAAATATTTTTTTTGACTTTCTGAAAAGGTCTCAGTGACACTTATGAAGACCCTACGTTTTCACATTTTTTTCAATGAATTCCAAGTCGTATATTTATTGGTACCTGACGATATATGTCGATTTTTATGATCGGACTTAGAATTAAAAATTCAAAATATGAGGTACTTGGTACTTATAAATTTTTTTTTGACTTTCTGAAAAGGTCTCAGTGACACACATGAAGACCCTACGTTTTCACATTTTTTTCAATGAATTCCAAGTCGTATATTTTTTGGTACCTGACGATATATGTTGATTTTTATGATCGGACTTAGAATTAAAAATTCAAAATATGAGGTACTTGGTACTTATAAATATTTTTTTTGACTTTCTGAAAAGGTCTCAGTGACACTTATGAAGACCCTACGTTTTCACATTTTTTTCAATGAATTCCAAGACGTATATTTATTGGTACCTGACGATATATGTCGATTTTTATGATCGGACTTAAAATTGAAAATTCAAAATATGAGGTACTTGGTACTTATAAATATTTTTTTTGACTTTCTGAAAAGGTCTCAGTGACACTTATGAAGACCCTACGTTTTCACATTTTTTTCAATGAATTCCAAGTCGTATATTTATTGGTACCTGACGATATATGTCGATTTTTATGATCGGACTTAGAATTAAAAATTCAAAATATGAGGTACTTGGTACTTATAAATATTTTTTTTGACTTTCTGAAAAGGTCTCAGTGACACTTATGAAGACCCTACGTTTTCACATTTTTTCAATGAATTCCAAGTCGTATATTTATTGGTACCTGACGATATATGTCGATTTTTATGATCGGACTTAAAATTGAAAATTCAAAATATGAGGTACTTGGTACTTATAAATATTTTTTTTGACTTTCTGAAAAGGTCTCAGTGACACTTATGAAGACCCTACGTTTTCACATTTTTTTCAATGAATTCCAAGTCGTATATTTATTGGTACCTGACGATATATGTCGATTTTTATGATCGGACTTAGAATTAAAAATTCAAAATATGAGGTACTTGGTACTTATAAATATTTTTTTTGACTTTCTGAAAAGGTCTAAGTGACACTTATGAAGACCCTACGTTTTCACATTTTTTTCAATGAATTCCAAGACGTATATTTATTGGTACCTGACGATAAATGTCGATTTTTATGATCGGATTTAGAATTAAAAATTCAAAATATGAGGTACTTGGTACTTATAAATATTTTTTTTGACTTTCTGAAAAGGTCTCAGTGACACTTATGAAGACCCTACGTTTTCACATTTTTTTCAATGAATTCCCAGTCGTATATTTTTTGGTACCTGACGATATATGTCGATTTTTATGATCGGACTTAAAATTGAAAATTCAAAATATGAGGTACTTGGTACTTATAAATATTTTTTTTGACTTTCTGAAAAGGTCTCAGTGACACTTATGAAGACCCTACGTTTTCACATTTTTTTCAATGAATTCCAAGTCGTATATTTATTGGTACCTGACGATATATGTCGATTTTTATGATCGGACTTAAAATTGAAAATTCAAAATATGAGGTACTTGGTACTTATAAATATTTTTTTTGACTTTCTGAAAAGGTCTCAGTGACACTTATGAAGACCCTACGTTTTCACATTTTTTCAATGAATTCCAAGTCGTATATTTATTGGTACCTGACGATATATGTCGATTTTTATGATCTGACTTAAAATTGAAAATTCAAAATATGAGGTACTTGGTACTTATAAATATTTTTTTTGACTTTCTGAAAAGGTCTCAGTGACACTTATGAAGACCCTACGTTTTCACATTTTTTTCAATGAATTCCAAGTCGTATATTTATTGGTACCTGACGATATATGTCGATTTTTATGATCGGACTTAGAATTAAAAATTCAAAATATGAGGTACTTGGTACTTATAAATTTTTTTTTGACTTTCTGAAAAGGTCTCAGTGACACACATGAAGACCCTACGTTTTCACATTTTTTTCAATGAATTCCAAGTCGTATATTTTTTGGTACCTGACGATATATGTTGATTTTTATGATCGGACTTAGAATTAAAAATTCAAAATATGAGGTACTTGGTACTTATAAATATTTTTTTTGACTTTCTGAAAAGGTCTCAGTGACACTTATGAAGACCCTACGTTTTCACATTTTTTTCAATGAATTCCAAGTCGTATATTTATTGGTACCTGACGATATATGTCGATTTTTATGATCGGACTTAGAATTAAAAATTCAAAATATGAGGTACTTGGTACTTATAAATATTTTTTTTGACTTTCTGAAAAGGTCTCAGTGACACTTATGAAGACCCTACGTTTTCACATTTTTTCAATGAATTCCAAGTCGTATATTTATTGGTACCTGACGATATATGTCGATTTTTATGATCGGACTTAAAATTGAAAATTCAAAATATGAGGTACTTGGTACTTATAAATATTTTTTTTGACTTTCTGAAAAGGTCTCAGTGACACTTATGAAGACCCTACGTTTTCACATTTTTTTCAATGAATTCCAAGTCGTATATTTATTGGTACCTGACGATATATGTCGATTTTTATGATCGGACTTAGAATTAAAAATTCAAAATATGAGGTACTTGGTACTTATAAATTTTTTTTTGACTTTCTGAAAAGGTCTCAGTGACACACATGAAGACCCTACGTTTTCACATTTTTTTCAATGAATTCCAAGTCGTATATTTTTTGGTACCTGACGATATATGTTGATTTTTATGATCGGACTTAGAATTAAAAATTCAAAATATGAGGTACTTGGTACTTATAAATATTTTTTTTGACTTTCTGAAAAGGTCTCAGTGACACTTATGAAGACCCTACGTTTTCACATTTTTTTCAATGAATTCCAAGACGTATATTTATTGGTACCTGACGATATATGTCGATTTTTATGATCGGACTTAGAATTAAAAATTCAAAATATGAGGTACTTGGTACTTATAAATATTTTTTTTGACTTTCTGAAAAGGTCTCAGTGACACTTATGAAGACCCTACGTTTTCACATTTTTTCAATGAATTCCAAGTCGTATATTTATTGGTACCTGACGATATATGTCGATTTTTATGATCGGACTTAAAATTGAAAATTCAAAATATGAGGTACTTGGTACTTATAAATATTTTTTTTGACTTTCTGAAAAGGTCTCAGTGACACTTATGAAGACCCTACGTTTTCACATTTTTTTCAATGAATTCCAAGTCGTATATTTATTGGTACCTGACGATATATGTCGATTTTTATGATCGGACTTAGAATTAAAAATTCAAAATATGAGGTACTTGGTACTTATAAATATTTTTTTTGACTTTCTGAAAAGGTCTCAGTGACACTTATGAAGACCCTACGTTTTCACATTTTTTCAATGAATTCCAAGTCGTATATTTATTGGTACCTGACGATATATGTCGATTTTTATGATCGGACTTAAAATTGAAAATTCAAAATATGAGGTACTTGGTACTTATAAATATTTTTTTTGACTTTCTGAAAAGGTCTCAGTGACACTTATGAAGACCCTACGTTTTCACATTTTTTTCAATGAATTCCAAGTCGTATATTTATTGGTACCTGACGATATATGTCGATTTTTATGATCGGACTTAGAATTAAAAATTCAAAATATGAGGTACTTGGTACTTATAAATATTTTTTTTGACTTTCTGAAAAGGTCTCAGTGACACTTATGAAGACCCTACGTTTTCACATTTTTTTCAATGAATTCCAAGTCGTATATTTATTGGTACCTGACGATATATGTCGATTTTTATGATCGGACTTAGAATTAAAAAAAAGTTTGGCGCCATCAACGCGCCGGGCTCAAATATTCGCATCGGCAGTATCGTCATGCAAAGCATAGAGGGGGATCGAGCGATTTGGCACGTTGCATCCAAAGAGAGAACAGGTGACAAGAAGCACAAAAACCCGGGAAGGTTTTACAGAAATGAGGTGGCTGCTCTTACTGCTTTGCATGACAAAATGAGGGAACAAAAACTTCAGAAAATTGCCATAACTAAATTGGGAGCTGGATTGGATGGCATTCCATGGAAATTCACAAAACAAAAGCTGAGAGAGATCTTCGCAGATGATGACGTTACTCTGGTAGTGCACTACCTTCCTCGGAGGGAAGAGTTGCAGCGCGCCCCTTCATCTCCGACAAACAGGACCTGGAGAACTGCTGGGTCGTGGACGCACAAGTCGAAGAGCTTTGTCGTAGGTAAAGCAACAAAGAAGCAAAGGACACTGCCCGTTTCGGATATGCTTGAGAGCGGCTCTTCGTCTAATGCAACACTGGGAGGTGACGAGGAAACGCTGCTCGATCGCCTAAACGTCACTTTGAGTAGTATGAGATCGGAAATACAGCAGACCCGACAGAGCATCGAGGAGCCGGCTACTGAGCGTTGTTCGTCACCAGGAATCTCGACATTCGTCCCTGAGGATAATAAGCAAATAAACTCACAAACATGTTCTTTTGTTTCAGCTGCGCTGCCGTGCCACTTAATCAGCAGCGATCAACATGTGGCAAGGCCCGCAGCTTTCCCCGGGCAAGGCAGTGCCCCATCAGAATCTGCCAAAGTCACAGCAGGAACAGGTGGACAAGCTAGGTGCACACCGGAGACCTGTAAAAAAGCTGGGGTGCCCTCCCGTGCGCCTAGCCCCACCTCATCGCCAGCTAATAAAGGTGATAAAAATTTAAATCAGACTACCAATCCTGATGAGGTACGCACTTGCAGTCTGGAGCCCAATAAGCTACCTGGTGGGGCTGTGTCACAGACGAGAGGGACTGGATGGAGGGACGCTCATGACCGTAAACTGACTGCATTCTTTGCTAACCTCGAGCGTGAAAGCGGATTGCTTCGGGAAGGCTCTGTCGGTGGGGGTAGCCTACCCCCGCTGCCCCTACCTGTTTTATCTCAAAATCCCCCCCGACAACCTTCCACTGTTATGGTGAGTGGAACTGAGAGAAGTCTTGCAAAGGAGGTCCTAATTTCTTCTTCGCCCGAGCACCCAGTCTTAATTGCGGCCCCAGAGGCACCAGAAACAGTCGACCTGACAAGTTTCATGAATGACCAGATGGCCGGAGTGAAACGCAGCATCGATGCGTTGACTGAACAATTACGTGAGTCACATCCTGAGGGCAGGAAACGTTCACTGCAGAAAGTAGCTGCTACTCGCACCAGTACGCTGCGCGCTTCAACCAAACCGTCTCCGAAGATTGCAGCACCATCGCCTTCCAAGTCCGTAACGATTAATTACAGAAAGAGCTCAAAAAACGCAATCAGCAAGTCTCTCCACAAGGTCGCGTAAAAAAGAATGGTCAAAGTAAAGTTGAAAATTTGAAAATCGCTCTTTTAAATATCCAAGGCGTTAAATCTGCAGAAAAATTAGCGAATTTCGAAAATTACATAACTAATTTGCGCGAAAAGCCCTCAATCATTGTAATAAATGAGCATTGGCTCTGTTCTAAGGAAGTCAAACATTTTAGCATAACTAATTATAAAACTGTTACTTTCTTTGGCCGTAAGATAAGAGAAAGAGGGGGAGTGCTAATTTTAGTCAAAAAAGGCCTCAAATTTAATTGCAAGAAACTATTTCCAACTTCTATTGAATTTAGATTCGAAACTTGTGGAGTTGAATTGAAGGTTGCAAATCGAATTATTACGCTTTTGACGGTGTACCGACCGAGTAATCCTGAAAACAGAGATATTGAGTTCTTCATTGAAAATTTGGAAAATCTTATTGAGAAGTTTATAAGTCCAGAGAAAGAGATGTTACTAGTTGGTGATTTGAATGTTGATCTTAACTCAGACAATGCTGATAAAATGAAATTACTGAACTTAATGGATGGCTATGAAATGTCACTGGTAAATGGAATCGAAGCTACCCGGGTTACAAACACATCAGCAACTTTGATTGATCATGTATTTAGTTCCTTAAAGTGCTCGCATACTTCTTTTGTCAGTGATGTATTTTTTAGCGACCATAGAATGGTGTCTGTTAATTTTCAAATTCCAATTGAACTCGATAGAGATTATTACAAAATTATCAGGAGATTCTCTGACAGTAACTGGACTGAATTTTTCCACCTCTTAAGTACAGAAAGTTGGACCGAAGTTTATGAAAGTGATGATATTGATGATATGTGCTGTAAATTCATGGATAAGCTTACTATGTACTTTGAAATGAGTTTCCCAAAGGAGAAAATATTAATTAGAGTAAATAGGAAAAATAATGCCGATTCTGAGTTTCTTCGTAAGCAAAAGGAAGAATTAAGGCTCTTGGGTGCCCAAATATCTACACTGAAAAGGAATGATCCTAACTGTGACAGATTAAGAAGTCTTAAATTCAAATATAAAAGTAAACAAAAGTACGTTGGCTTTCTCATAAATGATGCAGTCCGAACTCACAATGACCAGAAAATGTTAAAAGCCTCTAATAAGACTGGTATGGCCTGGAAAATTATTAACGAAACTTGCAACTTGAACCAAGATAAACACGAAAATGATATTAAGCAAATTGAAATTGATGGTGAAATGGAAAAGGATTTACAGAAAATTTGCAACTTTTTAAATAAAAAATTTGTTGAACCTCAGGTAAATCTTAGTAGTGATGAAATTGAACTCTGTACTGAGAGTATTGTTTCAAATGGAATAAAATTTACTGCTCAGCCTGACGTTACCCCATTTGAAATAGAAAAAATTTTGAAGTTATTCCCGTCAAAGAAATCATCTAGCTGGGATGGATTATCTATGGATACGTTGAAAAAGATTTCTGGTTATATAGTGTTCCCTGTGGCATTTATGGTGAATGAGTCGTTTCGCACTGGTAAATTCCCGGAAGTGCTAAAATTAACTGTAATCAAGCCATTGTACAAAAAGAAGGGTGAGAAATCCGATGCTAGTAGTTATCGCCCAATAGCCTTAACATCTTCTGTAGCAAAAGTATTTGAGAAATGTTTCCTAAATAGAATTGAAAGCTATTTCGCTGAAAACAATCTCCTTGCGGACGAGCAGCACGGTTTTCGAAAAGGCAGGAGCACAGTGACTGCACTTTTTAAGTTAGTGTCCGAAATCTACGATTCGTTGGAAAATAGAGAAAAAAATCAATGTGATTCTGTATGACTTTTCTAATGCCTTTGGGTGTGTCGTTCCCGAAATACTGCTTGCAAAACTGAAAAAATTTGGAATTGATGATGTATCCCTCCTTTGGTTAAAGTCCTTTCTTACTGATAGAAAACAACTTGTTCAACTTTTTGGTGTGGGTGAAAATGGCGAGCAAAAATTATTTGAGTCAACAATGGAAAATGTTTCGATTGGCGTACCACAAGGAACAGTATTGGGCCCTTTTGGCTATTCCTCCTACGGTAATGATATGCCCTTAAAAATCATTGTCGCCGCTCTTATCTTGTTCGCAGATGATTCATCTTTTATTGTAAAGGCTGGAAACTACAAAGCCTTGAACGAAAAAACTGCTGTGGCTAATGACAAAATGATAGATTTTGCCAGTAATAACCGCTTAAGATTGAACGAAAAGAAAACTCAGGTGCTGCAAATGCATACTGCTCAAACTAGTAAATTGGAACCGCCTGTAATCAGACGCTGAAATTGAAGTGGTAAATCAAGCAAAAATACTTGGTGTAATGCTCTCTGATACAATGAACTGGAGCACCCAATGCGATCAGGTTGTAGCGAAACTGAGAAGTACCACGTACCTTTTTGTTAAATTAAGGCAGCGCATTCAAACTAAATTGCTAAGAGATGTATATTTCGCCCATGTTCAAAGTCACTTACTATACTCAATTGTAATTTGGGGTGGGTCGCCTATGTTGGAAAAGGTTTTCATTGCTCAAAAGAGAGTTATCCGTGCGATGGCAGGTAAAAGATACTGGAAGGCATTGACACCTGTCGAGTCTTGCCGACCACTTTTTGAAGAATTTCAGATCCTGCCAGCTTTCTCTGTGTACGCCTTTGAATGTGTTAAATTTTACAAAAAGTATCCTGAATTGTTCCTCAAAAATTCTGAAAGCAAGGTGCACCAGAATCGCAGTACTCGAAATAAACCTATAGCGGAGCAAGACTTATTTGTCAAACCAAACAGACTGTTGCTGACTGCGCAGTCCCCTCACATCATGATCCCTAGAATTTTCAATCATCTTCCCGATAGAATCAAAAACATTGATAGTTATCAAGTGTTTAAGAATCATATCATCATTTTTATGATCAGACTTAGAATTAAAAATTCAAAATATGAGGTACTTGGTACTTATAAATATTTTTTTTTACTTTCTGAAAAGGTCTCAGTGACACTTATGAAGACCCTACGTTTTCACATTTTTTTCAATGAATTCCATGTCGTATATTTATTGGTACCTGACGATATATGTCGATTTTTATGATCAGACTTAGAATTAAAAATTCAAAATATGAGGTACTTGGTACTTATAAATATTTTTTTTGACTTTCTGAAAAGGTCTCAGTGACACTTATGAAGACCCTACGTTTTCACATTTTTTTCAATGAATTCCAAGTCGTATATTTATTGGTACCTGACGATATATGTCGATTTTTATGATCAGACTTAGAATTAAAAATTCAAAATATGAGGTACTTGGTACTTATAAATATTTTTTTTGACTTTCTGAAAAGGTCTCAGTGACACTTATGAAGACCCTACGTTTTCACATTTTTTTCAATGAATTCCAAGTCGTATATTTATTGGTACCTGACGATATATGTCGATTTTTATGATCAGACTTAGAATTAAAAATTCAAAATATGAGGTACTTGGTACTTATAAATATTTTTTTTGACTTTCTGAAAAGGTCTCAGTGACACTTATGAAGACCCTACGTTTTCACATTTTTTTCAATGAATTCCAAGTCGTATATTTATTGGTACCTGACGATATATGTCGATTTTTATGATCAGACTTAGAATTAAAAATTCAAAATATGAGGTACTTGGTACTTATAAATATTATTTTTGACTTTCTGAAAAGGTCTCAGTGACACTTATGAAGACCCTACGTTTTCACATTTTTTTCAATGAATTCCAAGTCGTATATTTATTGGTACCTGACGATATATGTCGATTTTTATGATCAGACTTAGAATTAAAAATTCAAAATATGAGGTACTTGGTACTTATAAATATTTTTTTTGACTTTCTGAAAAGGTCTCAGTGACACTTATGAAGACCCTACGTTTTAACATTTTTTTCAATGAATTCCAAGTCGTATATTTATTGGTACCTGACGATATATGTCGATTTTTATGATCAGACTTAGAATTAAAAATTCAAAATATGAGGTACTTGGTACTTATAAATATTTTTTTTGACTTTCTGAAAAGGTCTCAGTGACACATATGAAGACCCTACGTTTTCACATTTTTTTCAATGAATTCCAAGTCTAATATTTATTGGTACCTGACTAACCTGACGATATATGTCGATTTTTATGATCAGACTTAGAATTAAAAATTCAAAATATGAGGTACTTGGTACTTTTTTGACTTTCTGAAAAGGTCTCAGTGACACTTATGAAGACCCTACGTTTTCACATTTTTTTCAATGAATTCCAAGTCGTATATTTATTGGTACCTGACGATATATGTCGATTTTTATGATCAGACTTAGAATTAAAAATTCAAAATATGAGGTACTTGGTACTTATAAATATTTTTTTTGACTTTCTGAAAAGGTCTCAGTGACACTTATGAAGACCCTACGTTTTCACATTTTTTTCAATGAATTCCAAGTCGTATATTTATTGGTACCTGACGATATATGTCGATTTTTATGATCAGACTTAGAATTA